TGAATACAACGTGTTAAAAGGCATGGGTGGTCTTTTGCTAATAGCGATTTCTTCTTGACAACCTTTGGATAGTAGGATTGTAAAGCGACATAAATTTTAGAGGTCGATGATGCGCTAACATATTTTTTTTTAAATTTAGATTCTAATAATATAATATAAAACTAAACTAAATTATAACTTTCACCATCGCACATCGCGACAAAACTCGCGATACCATCCATTCTATCTGGATGACTGGCGGTCCAGTACTGTGCAATTTTTTTTATAGGATAAGGGTGACAAACGAGCACACAGTCCACCTGATGGTAAGTGGTTGCTGCGGCCCATAGACATCTATATCTATCCTCTATTACAAATCAAAATGCAGATGCGTTGTCACCCGTGAGGACTAAGATGGAATGCCTCATTTCCAGTAAAAAGGGCCTCCGGCCACCTGCACTCACCAAGCGAAACGCAGAAGTAAACCTCTACTTCATGCTGGTATTCTGTGAGGTCATGGTACCACCCTGGTTCGAACCGGCCCATCCGTGCGACAGCAAAAGCTGCCGCGTGGCTCTACCACTGTTAAAAACGATTTAAAAGAAGTTTTCTTCCTCGCACAACTTCCTTGTGGAATTGACTACCACCAGAGACTTTTCCGGACCGGTACGACTTAGGGACCTTCAAGAAGAGAGCGTACTCCTTTTTAAAGGCCGGCAACGCATCTGCGATTCCCCTGGCGTTGCAGTTGTTCATGGGCGGTGGTAATCACTTACCATCAGATGAGCCGTGTGCTCGTTTGCCCCATTTCCTATAAAATTACATTAAATACAATATTAGAAGAAATATAGATAAAGATATTATAAGAAATAAATAACAGATGTAGCATTAAGTATCAAAATGCAAAAATGAGCACGCAATACATCTAAATAGTCTAGAAGATCATTCAAACTCAGAATCACCTCTGATAGGTTTAAGATAAGAATGCCTTGTTTCCAGTGAAAAGGGTCTCCGGTTCTCAACACTCATACTTTACAGAGAAGCATTAAGCTGATATTATACGCTGGTATTCTGTGAGAGCGTGGTCCTACCCCGGTCGAACCGACCCATTCGTGCTACAACCACAATATAGCTGCAGCATGGCTCTACCACGTATATCAAATACACGCTAATTCTAAGTTAACACAAACATCACTCTCAAATTAGTGTCAAGTGTATTAAATTTCAACAATTTTTCCGAAGAGTTTACATTGGTACACTTCACTATATCATTGCGATCTAGCGTTGGTACATTATGCAATTGAAATGAAAGCGACATGAAAGCGATATGAAAGCGATATGAAAGCGATATGAAAGCGATATGAAAGCGAAAAAGATAAGAGCGTTTCTTTTTCGCTTTCATATATGCCTGCCTATGTTCATCATCATCATAATCATTACCGCTCTTCACAAGTCCATTCCTGAACATTAGCCGCCCCCAAGGAATGCCACAAAGCACGGTCCTGAGCCACCTGCGTCCATCGACTTCCTGCATGTCTTACCAGGTCGTCACTCCATCTAGTGGTTTCTTAGTATGTCTGTTTAAATCCAATTTAGTAATTGATTTAAACTAACTTCCTCATGAGCTATAGACTTAAAATATTGAACATAGCTCAGAATGTACATATTACATATATATCAAGAAAGTAAGAAGAAAATATACGTGGTATATAGGGTCGGGGAAAAAGCTTCTTTGTATTTTATACACAAATTCAATACATTTTTTTTAAAGTTTAATTATATTTAATGATAATATTTATGTGCCCTTTTGTTCGATAACATGTTGCCATCTTGTAGGTAGTAACATAATTTCGTTGCTGTAGGAATCTTGGGATTTTTGATCAAAAAATTCGACAAGTAGTTTTGACAGTCCACTCTTGATGTTATCTCTTAGTGAACACAACCCAAAGAATTCTGAAGAGACCGAAACAGGTGAAAATCTGAGGGTGCAAGGTCATGATATATGGTGTGGTTCAGCGTTATCACGATAAAAGACCCCTCCGCTTCTGTTGATCAATTCCGACCGTTTTTTCTCAATTTCTTATCTTCACGCAAAATCCCTGACGGGGTAGCCAGAGAGAACAGATCGCCAAGTGTCACGATCCTTACAGTAGTGTAGTTGTACCACTTCTAGACCACCTGAGTCAGACGTGGTTCAACGACGTTCGTCGACGCCCGATCCTAAAAAAAAAAAAAAAAAAAAAAAAAAAAAAAAAAAAAAAAAAAAAAAAAAAAGGTTTTGGCATGCTCTGATCACGAATCCGCGGTCCATTTTTGTGTAGAATGCACGGTTCCGGAGATGTGTAGATCAATTAGCTAATATCTAATTGATATCCGGTAAGGGCCTCCACCGTCATTAGCGTCCCATTGTTCCTATTTCTATTGTTCTATTGTTCCTTAATCACCTTCATTGCAGCGTGTGCGTCGACTATATCAGTGCTATTGTGTTATAGTTCTTTGTTTATACAACGCTAATCTGAATCATCAATAAAACACATTACATAATTTTGTTACAATTTTTATTTATAAAATACAAAATCTTATTAATTATTATCTATAAAATAGGAGCCAAACATCTCATCTACTAAAATATCGTTGTACAATGTGTTCCTTGTAAATATACTCGTAAAACTATGTATTGAACATCCTTGAAACTTATATAGTAAATACATTAAGCAATATTCGCCACAAACTGAAGTCCACTCATTCTGAATCCTATCAACATTCCAGTTCCATCTTTTACAATTCCTTTTTAAAAACTCTAGATGATATCGTACAGGTGATCGTCCATATGAATCAAAATATTGACCGACGTCATTCGTATCGATATATAAAGCTACCCAATGTGACCCTGGTTTATCATCTGTATCCAAATTACATATTATATACGTTGGTACGTGGGTATACATAGGCAGTCTATTAGCTGCATAAACATTATTTTCTAGACTGGGGTGAATCTTTTTCAGATGTTGTTGTACATCTAGTGTATCCATGATATTACTGCTATTAGTAGATTATTACAGTACCTAGCTACTCAATGAATAACATAGGAATGGTCAATTATAGTGATTTCTACATATTAAATTGCATTTTTGTGATATACAAATCGTACTTGAGTCATTGATCACCAAACAAAACACAATACGAAGAAATGTTGAGATAGGCAACGGAAATGTGAGATAAACTGATATGTTTCTAAATATTAAATTGCATTTTTGTGTTATACAAATCGTACTTGAGTCATTGATCACCAAACAAAACACAATACGAAGAAATGTTGAGATAGGCAACGGAAATGTGAGATAAACTGGTTGACGCATAAAGTAATTATCAACTCATTACGGAAATACTTTAGATTAGAATTTTTACGTACTGGTGGTGTATAAGACCAACAAACGCAGTCATCGAGTTAGTGTACGGTCGTTTGGCTACAGTGGATCTATCAATAGTACATTTGTGTTACTTCAATACACCAAAGGCTATGGATGTAAGTGTTTATTCTATTGACTAAATTACTTTTTTTCTGTTATTTTCATGTGTGTGTATTATTTTATTTAAATATTGTGTATGTATATGATTAAGCCGTGGTAACTCAGATGGTTAGCGCTAGCTGTAAATTTCACAGTACGCGACCCGGGTTCGATCCCCGCCAGCACCAATTAAATTGTTAATAGCAATTTTAAGTGCTTATTACCACGTGCTTGGTGGTGAAGGAAAACATCGTGAGGAAACCTGCATGTCTGAGAAAATTTCGAAGGCATGTGAAGTTCGCCAACACACATTGAGGGAGCGCGGCGGACATTTCCTTGCTCTAAAACCCTCTCAGAAATGAGAGGAGGCCTATGTTCAGCAGTGGACTTTAATAGGCTGTAACTTTAACTTTTTTAACTTTTATGATTAAGTGTTAACAAATTGATATTAACATGATAACTGTGTTGTTGCAGAAATCATTGAGCTTCGATGAAGATACCTATAAACAGTATTACTACTCGCCACTCTCCCCTCAAGAAGAGAGTGATAACCTCGTCATTAATAATAACACATGCGATGGTGGAAAAAGAAAATCGCAATCGATTGATCATTTTTTTGAAGCTGAATCAAAAATAAAAAAGAGGAAGCTGTTATCATCAACCGTAGCACGAGCCGCTAGAGATGGTGTATCATACATTTCTACTAATTCTGACGACGGAGACCAAGCGACGCATCTCATCAAAATTGAAATGTACGATATGAAGAAGCTATCCAAGATTCCAACTACTGATCATTGGAAACATGCTTCCACGAGAATTAAATATTACGTAAATACTAATAAGGATAGCATCTACGACAATACAAACGCCCTCGTATACAATATAACAAAGACAATAGCAGAAAGTGAAAAAGTTAAAAAATACTTTTTAACAATGACAGTCATTAGCTGATCATTAGTGAATGTGATTCTGTTTACTTCAATTACAGGAAGACAAGAGCGGAAGGAAGAGATGAGTGTGGCATACGTGTACAAAACACATCATTGAATAACAAAACTACAACACTTAGTGGAGAAGAAAACGAGAAGAGTATGCAGTACTCAAGAGCTGAATATCCATTCTTCAGTTCAAAATCTAGCCGTTTGCTTAGTTTCGAAAACTGGCCTCTAGTTATGCGACAGAAACCTGAAGATCTTGCCGAAGCTGGTTTCTTTTATACTGGCCATGCAGACGGGACCAAGTGTTTCCATTGTGGTGGTGGTTTAAAAGATTGGGAAGATGATGATGATCCTTGGCAGCAGCATGTTCAGTGGTTTAGTCAGTGTGCTTATGTAAAATTTCAACTCGAACAGTGTTTTGTATTAGATTAAATAGAAGATTTATAAAGAAATAAAAAAAATATATTGCATACAATTTGTTTTATTTAATTTTATAACGTTTCACATAGTTACATACACACAAAATGCATTACACATAACACATAAAATCTAACACACAACACATATTATAACCTTAACTACTATAGTCTACAGTAACATTTCTGTTTTTATCTATCTCAATAATATTATCAAACTCAGCATAAACTATACAGTTAATTGTTTGTATTAATGAGGATTCAAATCGTACTTCTATTCTTACACTACCATGCTTTATGAGATTCCAATGAGTTGATGAGTTAGCTGATAAATCAGGAGTTAAGTCAAATGCTAATAGACAGTAACCTTTGCCATACTGTTCACAAGAGATTCCATTTCCTTCATTAAGAAAGTGAATACCAGTTCCCGAGAATAGAGTATGATATGCTGATGTAAATATGCTATTATTAAAAGATGGTTGCAAAGCTTTTGAAGGTATTTGTTGACCATCAATATATAAGCTGAAAGAATTAATACCATAGTTTTCAAAGTTAAATGGATTTTTAGTAAGGGAACCATTAAATGCAGAATTGTTCACAAATCCAATTATACATCTTTTCGGTACCTGTCCTAAAAATATATTATCAAGAGTTTTTCCTTGAACACCTGAAGGAATTGTTAAAACTTTTACTTCAGCTCGAGTAATAGGATATTTAGCAGTGGTAGAAGCTAAAACTTTTTGATGTGCGAGTAATACACTTGGATTAATTCGTGCTCGTCGCACAATAAGAGTTGCGTCCGTAATGCAAACTTTAAACTTTACATCGTTCGACCCAACAATTAAATTAAAACTCTCTCTTGATCGAACCAATTTAACACTCATTTCAACACCATTAATTAAAAATTTATCTTGGTTAAAAATGTCACCGTGAAGATGACCAATCATTTCTATTTCCTTACTTTCACTAATCAATTCCTGTCTTTTAACAAATCCTATGTTTTTACCATCTGTAGAATCCATTTTTCCTGCTGTATCCTCATACCAAAGACTACAAGTAAGATGAGATTGTTTAGCAGCAGGGGCATAGTTTAAAAGGGTTTCCATGTATGCTCGATATGCATAGGTATTATTAGGTGGTGATACAAGTTTTTGGTTTAAATAAACATCAAGTTGACTAAAAAGTGAATGCAGCCAATTATTTACAGGTGCTACTATTGTAGTTGTGGCGGATTGGGATTATTTTACTAGATATAGTGGACTGTATTGAGAATCTAAATCCCCTGAAACGTTCAGTTACCGCAGTCACAAAATCACACCAAAAACAGCAACAAACTACTCACGGTCTTACTAGCCAGCCTCCCAAGATCAGCAAACGTTGACAGCTCCTGGTAGCTTCTTCTACACGGTAGAATACACTAGCAATTAGATTGTACACGGTACACTGTGGAGTAGTCCCTTTTTAAAGTTTTTGGAGAGATGTTCACATCACGAACACAAAGAGAATGTGTATGGCTTGTCTCGCCTCCTACCCTCCTCTTCTCCTTTTTTTAACTCCACAGATTATTACAACGCATATTACGTCGCAATGTTGCCACTAGGTGTGACCGGCGCTCCGATCGTAGCAGATCATTGTGCCTCGGTATAAATTTTGTGAGTTGCGGTTTATTACTGAACACACCCCCCACCGAAACCATCTTGATGGTTTCTCCTAACTATATGAAAAAGATATTAGAGAAAATATTATAACTTAAGCTACGGAACATGCAAAATAACGCTGAGACACAGAATGTCCTCAACGAGAAAAAAAAATATTAATACACGTAAAAACTAATTTGAATAAGGTAGAGGACTCAGTTTATTAACTGGTCTCTGTAGAGTACTCTTTTGAGTGCGAAGCGTAACACAACGAACAATCCCATCTGGACCGGGGTGAAGAGCCTCAATTCTACCCAAAGGCCAATTGCACGGCGGTACATTATCAGTTTTTATGATTACGAGATCACCTATTTTTATATTAGATCTATCCGAATGCCACTTTGCTTTCTGTTGCAGCGTATTTAGATATTCGTGACTCCATCTACGCCAAAACATTTGTGAACATTTTTGAATATATTGCCAACGTGATAATCGATTTATTGTTATATCCTCTACATTGTACTCAGGTACTGCTGTTAACCCTTTTCCAATTAGAAAGTGTCCCGCAGTCAAAACGTTGAACTCATCAGGATTATCACTAGCTGGTAACGGACAAAGCGGCCGCGAGTTGAGAATCGCTTCTACTTTACAAAACACTGTTGTGAGTTCCTCGAACGTCAAACTTTTTTCTCCTACGGCTCGCGTTAATAGATACTTGGCGGATTTAATTCCAGCTTCCCAGAGCCCACCCATATGTGGTGCACCAGGGGGATTAAATCTCCATATAATTTGTCGTTTTGAGCAACCCTCTAATATATTGTTTTTTTGTTCGAGCATAAATCTTTGTACTTCGGTTAAATGCTTACTAGCAGCTATGAAATTAGTTCCGCAATCCGAATAAAGGAAGGAGCACACACCGCGTCGCGCTACAAATCTGTCTAAACACGCGAGGAAACAGTCCGATGACAACGACGATAAGACTTCAAGGTGTACAGCTTTTGTCGAATAACAAATAAATAATGCTAAATATGACCGTTCAACCCTAGCATTTCGTCGTAAACTTTCTTTTGTAAAGAACGGACCACCGAGGTCCACCCCTACATGCTCAAAAACATTACAAGGTATCAATCGAGCTGCTGGCAAAGGTGCCATCTCAGGCTGTAAGAGCACTGGGTTGTGTTTAAAACAAATTTTGCATTTGGACAAAACTGACCGAATAATGCGACGGGATGCTAAAATCCAAAAATTTTGATTAATAATGGTTTGTAAGGTGCGTGGACCTACGTGTAAATATTTTTTATGTAAATATTCAATAAGTAAAAAGGTAAATCTACTATTTTTAGGTAATAAACGAGGATGCTTCGCGTTATAAGGTAACGCTGAATAATTTATTCGACCCCCCACCCTGAGGTATCCGCGTTCGTCAATAAATGGAGATAATTTTCTCAACGACGGAACGTACTTTGTGCCCTTTGACAATCTATTTATTTCATTTGCGAAGTATGCACTTTGTACTAATTTAATTAAAACATCTTGGGCAGTATTTAATTCGTTAGTCGTCAGTATTGATTGCTTCGAGTGACCGGATTTGAGTCGGAACCATCTCAATATTCGAGCAAACGTACGTTGCAGTTTATAATAAGAAGAGAAATTGGAAAAGATTCGGTCACAGAACTCTAACTTAGTCTCCTCTATCGAATTATTTTCATTTGTGATTAAATTGAAGGAGCCTAATGTATGATTTGATTTCATTTCGGGTGTATTACTTTCATGTTGGTTGATAAATGTTCTCACTGGCCACTGCGAATAGTCGTCGTACAACCAAGATGGGCCCTTCAACCACTGCTCACTGCACTCCACGAGCTGTGACGGAGACGCTCCGCGCGAGCATATGTCTGCCATATTGCACTCACTACTCACGTGACGCCAACAGTGTGGAGGTAACACTTCACATACCTGAGTAACACGGTTACTAACAAACGGCTTTAATTTGTAAGCTTCTGTCTGAAGCCACGTCAACACGATAGTCGAATCGGTTAACGCAGTAATACGAGTAATTTTTACACGAGTTAAAATGTCACGGACATATCTAATTAATTTGCTTAACAAAACTGACGCCATTAATTCCAACCTCGGGATAGTTAATGGTTTGACGGGGGCTACTTTAGATTTTGCTGTCACCAGGCGTACTTTAGTTTGACCTCTATCGTTACGACTGATCACATACACACAACTAGCATAACCGCGAGAGCTTGCATCGCAAAAGGCGACCAATTCACATTCGGTCTGTTCTGGTAGCAGCATATGTCTATCTATCTTGATTGCCGTTAGTCGCGGGAGATCATCAACGTAATTAAGCCAGCGCTTAGTTACGTCAGTTGGCAGCTGCTCATCCCATCCTATGCCCAGCTTCCATAAATCTTGCATTATCTCTTTCGCGATGAAAATGCACGGTGAAATAAAACCCACGGGGTCGTAAATAGAAGCTAATAATTTTAAAACAGAACGTTTAGTTGTTACTTTATCAGTCTTATCTACTGTGAAATAAAAACAGTCAGTCAAAGGGAACCATTTCAGACCTAGCACTTTGACTGAATATTTGTTACCATCTTTCATAAATGTAACAGGACACTCTCGGTTTTCTAACGGAACGCGTTGTAAAACTTTTGCACTATTACTCGCCCACCTTTTGAGTATAAAGCCACCGGAATTAAACATCTCTAAAAGTTCATCTTGTAACCGAGATATCTGTGACAATGAACTACAAGAATATAGAATGTCATCCATGTACACGCCCTCGCGCACAACCATTGCAGCGAGTGGGAAACGTTCTTCCTCGTCATAGGCTAACTGTAAGAGGGTGCGGATAGCTAAGAACGGTGAGCAACTTAAGCCGTAAGTGACAGTTTTTAATTCATAAACGTCAATGGCATCGTTAGGCGAATGACGATACAAAATATGTTGATAACATCTATCTGACTGATTCAGTTTAATTGCCCGATACATTTTGCATACGTCACAAATCAAACAATATTCAAACAACCTAAAATTCAATATTATAGCCCCAATATCTCGATACAGATTAGGCCCGGTCAATAGAATATCATTTAGCGAAACGTTCGTGGACGTTTTAGCCGAGGCATCGAATACCACACGCAAAGGAGTAGTGGAACTACTGGGCTTAAGTATACTGTGATGAGGTATCACATATTTGCTTGGGGTGTCCCCCGAATAAAGCTCCATGTGCCCTAGATTTTCATATTCGCACATGAACTCTGAATAGGCTTGTCGTAATACAGGTGAACGATTCAACTTGCGCTCGGTGAACAAGAGTCGCCGCTCGGCTGCCGCTCGTGACGCGCCCAACGGAGGCGGGTCTGGTATGAATGGTAACGGCACTGAATAGGTACCATCCTCAGTACGACTATAACGAGCCACGAAAATGTCTTCCGCTAATTGTTCCAAAGGATTAATCGAGGGTTTGCTTGGCAATTCTTCGATTTCCCAAAACTTACGCAACGTTTGATCTAAAGACTCTTGTTCATCAAATGAGACTGATAAATTATAATTTTTTAAATTGTCCTTATCATTGCTATAAAGTTTACCACTTACAACAAACCCGAAAGCGGTATCGATCACGCTTGGTATATCCGATGAAATAATATAAGGTTTATCCTTAATTAGTTCCGAAACTATATCATTGCCCAATAGTATATCGATACGCGAACGCTTATAAAATAATGGATCAGCTAAATTAAAATTCTTATATTTATTAATAACGTCCGAGTGGAATCGAACGTTAGGCATATCAGCAGATACCTTAGTCACTACGACCATGTTCAGTGTAAAACTAGGTAGGTCAGTGTGTAGGGACCTTAATGTGCATGTAATCATGCCGTGATTTTTTACAGCCTCTCCACCGAGACCATAAATATTAAACGAACACTTCTTTCGAGGTAAGCCCAAACGTTGAGCACACTCAGTTGTAATAAATGAGCTCTGAGCTCCAGAGTCAATAACTGCACGGCAGTATTGAAGCTGGCCGCTACTATCAATTACTAACACGCGCGCCGTTCCCAATACAACACCGTAACCCGAGTGAGCGTTATTGGAATGAAGCGTATCTATCGTATAACGCTCTGAGTCACTCATAGCCTGAGACGAGACGAGTGCTTGTTGCACTTGCGAGTCAGAGCACAATGGACGGGTGGATGTTGGCACGAGCGTGTCGCTCACTGGCTCCCTATGCAATAGATAATGATGTAGTGACGCACATACACCACAAGACATCTCACTTTTACAAGTTGAGGTATCATGATTTCCTTTTAGGCAATTATGACACAATTTTAAGGTATTGACACGGTCAATCCTTTTATCTACGGTCAATTTACGAAATTGATCGCACCTATAAATCATGTGATTTTGATTGCAATGCGCGCAAATTATTTTTTTATTTTTATTATAATTTGACACATTAGTATTTAAAACTGTCTTTGAATAACTTTTGTAGTGGTTATTATTGTTGCCTTTGTAATTGTTACATATAGACTTATTTCTTGATTGTAACGACATCGTACTATTCGATGAATGTTCGAGTACTTTAACTTGTTTATTTACAAAACTAATTAATTCCGAAAAAGATGGAAGTGAATTTTGATCCCGATTTTCTTCAAAAAGCCTCCTAGTATGCGCATCCAACCCACGTAAGGCTAAATGACAAAATAAATAGTCATGTAAATTTTTAATTTTTAATGCCTCGATGGCTTTAAAAGAGTGATCGAATGTTTCGATAAATAAAGTAAGATTTGCGGTAGTATCTTTATTTAACGGCGTAAAGTTTATCATTTTGTCGATGTACCTACCCACGAGTATTCGATCATCTTGATATTTATTACATAAACCTTGCCACACGACAGTATAATTAGCGGCTGTTATGGGCAATTTTTTAACAATGTTTAATGCCGAACCTTTAACACATGAAAGCAAATAGTGAAACTTATCTATTTCGTCGAAATCTCGATTGTGGACAAGTGATACAAATGTATCGTAGAATGTGGTCCACTTCTCAATATCACCATCGAATTCAAATAAACGTAATTTAGGTAATGACGGCCTTACATCACTCCTATCTTTCCTACTGAGGGATGCCTGCTCGTCCGGTTTTAATCTTAAATATTGCAACCTACATGCCTTATAAAGTTCATCAAATGTATCTAATTCTCGCGTTGACAATCTTGTCTCCGGTTTTAATGATATATCTATTTCAATAATATTTAACACTGTTTCTTCAAACGTTGAGCGGACACTTTCTAATTCGGAATAATCGGCTAAGAAATTCTGAATTTGTGTGGGATCATTTATTTGGGATCTCGCGATATCGAAAACCTTTTGTAATTTAGCAAATAGGTATTCCTTTTTAAAAATAAGTGTTTGCCTTTTTATTTGTAATTTATCCGACATTATGAACAAATTACAAAATTAATACTTTATAAACGCACCGCGAGCAATGGACATCCAGGTAAAAAAGAGGCAAATTAAATAAGGGATATTAAATTAATTAAATGCGTAGTTTTACTCAAATATATGACGTCCACGGGACGCGAATTAAGGGTAGAAAATTATTATTCGAAGATCACTAATTCGAATATATGCGGCTCGAAGGCCAGAAATGTGGCGGATTGGGATTATTTTACTAGATATAGTGGACTGTATTGAGAATCTAAATCCCCTGAAACGTTCAGTTACCGCAGTCACAAAATCACACCAAAAACAGCAACAAACTACTCACGGTCTTACTAGCCAGCCTCCCAAGATCAGCAAACGTTGACAGCTCCTGGTAGCTTCTTCTACACGGTAGAATACACTAGCAATTAGATTGTACACGGTACACTGTGGAGTAGTCCCTTTTTAAAGTTTTTGGAGAGATGTTCACATCACGAACACAAAGAGAATGTGTATGGCTTGTCTCGCCTCCTACCCTCCTCTTCTCCTTTTTTTAACTCCACAGATTATTACAACGCATATTACGTCGCAATGTTGCCACTAGGTGTGACCGGCGCTCCGATCGTAGCAGATCATTGTGCCTCGGTATAAATTTTGTGAGTTGCGGTTTATTACTGAACAGTAGTAGATACCAAGTTAGTTGAATCTTGATTTAATACTTTTGCCTTTATGTGGAGTAATGTATGAGACAAATCTATGTAGTCATCGCCGGTCCCAGGAACTTGAAACTCGATAGGTCCATCATCACCAAGAGATGAAATTGGTTTATAATGAATCCACAATCCATTTTCAATGCTAGTTTGTGTAGACGGTAGTGCAAACAAATCCAATTCTGACTTAACGCACTCGCAAGAATGATTATGAAGGAAAGACATATTTAGTTTGAAAATATATCTTTGATATTTTTTGGTTTTAGACTAAGTTTTTTCGCAGCTTTCACTTTAGCAGTTAATGGTGGAATGAACGATGTCAATCGTTTTCTTTTAGTTTTATACCCAGATCCAGTCATGTTAAATTGATCAATTTTCTCATCAGCCTTTCGTTTTAAATTCGTACTAACTTGCTTTAGACGATCTTTTATTGAGGCTTCCATAGGACGGGCTTGAACCATATCCGATAAAAGTCCTACTCCAGCGCTTAATGCCTCCTTACCAATCACTCGAGCACCACTTGAAAGTAAAGGTAAAACTGATCTGAATAACCCCCCTAAGAAGCTCCCAATACCATGACCGCGTTGATATGGTGAACCCTTATAAATTACTCCAACTCCTGATCCAGCTTGATGTGTATAATAATTTTCATATGGACATTTATGATGATCACGAAGAGAATTCATTATTATAATTTTCGGAAATGTAGTTTAATACACACGGTTCCAAACTGGAATGGTATTTTTTGTCCTGTACTCGATCTTATAACTATTTCCAACGTATCGAACTCTCTTCGCATAACAGGTAAGTAGTGAGGTTGAGAGAAAACGTGCATTTTATTTGCACCATAAATGTATTTTGTAGGATCTAATGAAATGACTCTTAATAAAGGAGTCATAACATCACCCACAATCTGAGGATCGATAATATCGCAATATAGAAATAGTTGAGATGGTAACCCTAAGTGTAAATTAGCAGGACACTTTCCAAAATTTCTCTCTAGGAGATTTTTATTTGGTTCATAACCTAGCTGTAAACTTAATTTGGGTGATAATGTTACGGATGTTATATTTTTATCCAATACCGAAATAGACACAAATTTTGTTATTTCATCATAGCGAAATTTCAAGTTCTCTCCGATACCATTTAACACTCTTAAAATATGCTCAACGTTATCATAGTTGGTAGCTGGAATATGTTTTTTGTAGTACACTGTGGATGGCTTATCTTCATTAGGCATTAACATAGATTTTGTAATGTATATAACATTTTCAT